TCTATTCAAAGGAATCATTCTTTGTAAGTTCAGGAATTCTCAACCTAATCATTGTAAATAAATGTGTTTTAAAGTTTACTTCTTCGGAGAAACACACACACAGGAAAAAACTTTCCCCCTCCTGCAGCCTTTGGGCCAGCCCTGGATGCTGGACAGACATGTGCCTAGTGTACTCGGGAGGTTTCCGGAGACCTCCAAACTTGAGCCAGTGGGATCGCCTCACAGAGCATCAAGTGTAACTGCTGTGGTCCTCCCCGGGCTCCTTGACTTTATCTGTGGTAAATGTTATAACCAGTTGCCTCCCTTTACCTCCCAACCTCCCAATCTCTACCACAGAGAGGAGCATTTCTGGAAGTTTCACTTTGTCCCCCTGTTGAATGGCAACTTTAGGAATATAGTGGATGTAAAACTTAACATCCCCACGTTCACAAATGATCTTTAGTAGAATCCACTTTTCTAATTTTAGATGTAAGTGCCTAGCAAAGATGGCACCTAGAGATGAGCAGTGCTGTCCAGAGCTTTCGCCTACTGTGGTCAAGCCGCAGGGGACTTCCCTCCAGCCTAGAGAGGCTTAAGGCGGTTGTGCTGTGTTGGTTGTGACAGTCTTACACTTTTCTTTTCTTTGTTTTTTTTTTTAATTATTTTGTTTAATTATAGTTATAATAATTATTATTTTCAGTTTGATCAGGGAGTGGCAGAGAGCAAGAGCGAGAGAGAGAGAGAGAAGGTGAGCAAGCTCTAAGGGCTAGGACTTGAACCATGGTCAGCCATGTGAGAGTCCAGCGCCCTTAACCACTATGCCACCTCCTGGCCCCCTGTTGTTTTTTTAGAGTTTTTGTCTTAGGGCATGTGTGCGAGACAGAAAGAGACAGTGAGTGGAAAGGTGAGAAATCACCCCCTGGGGGATGGCTGTCCTGTAATCCATTCTCCTTCTGGGATCTTGGACATGCACACATACATGCCTGTCATTCTCAAGCCACCAGGTCCAGGATTTGAACTATAGTCAATCACGTGGGAGTCTAGTAATGTAACCATTACACCATCTGCTGTCCCAGTCTTACAAATTTCTATGCTGAAAGTTTAAAAACAGTGCTGTTTATACATTTTCTATTTAAAGAGCATTGATTTTATCATTGTAAGTTTTGTGTTTTGCAGAACTCCTTTGTGGGCCTTACTAACCTTGGAGCCACTTGTTACGTGAACACTTTTCTTCAAGTGTGGTTTCTCAACCTCGAGCTTCGGCAGGCCCTGTACTTATGTCCGAGCACCTGTAGTGACTACATGATGGGAGACGGTATCCAGGAGGAGAAAGGTTGGTGGGATGGGTGGGGGAGCTGCTTTGTTCAAGCGTTTTGCCAGCTAGACTACTTCGGAACCAACCGGAAAGGTGGAAGCCTGAGTACTCAGTATGTGCCAGAGCATGGTACCAGGTCTTTTATTTTAATTAATTAATTATTTTTGGAGAGTTTTTTTACTATAGGGTACATACACTCACCGAAAAGACAAAGAGAGACAGAAAGAGAGAAAATGCCTCCCAGAGGGATGGCCATGCTACAATCCCTTCTCCTCCATTCTCCTCTCAGGATCTTGGGCTTGCACGCACACGTGCCTGGCATGAGTTTAAGCTGCCGGGTCCAGGACTCGAACTGTGGTCGACTTCATGGGAGTCCAGTGACATAGCCATTACGCCACCTGTTGGTCCCAACCAGGTGATTTATTTATTTATTTGAGATGTTTTTGCTATAGGGCATGTGCGCTGGCCAGAAAGACAGAGAGAGAAAGCAAGAAACCACCCCCCACGGGGGGATGGCCACACCACATTCCCTTCTCCTCCATTCTCCTCTTGGGATCTTAGGCATGCACACATACACACCCGGCCTGAGTTTAAGCTACTGGGTCCGGGACTCAAACCGCGGTCAATTACATGGGAGTCCAGCGACATAGCCATTATGCAACTGCTGGTCCCTTAACCAGGTCTTTTATAAACATAGTCAAGACTGATAAATCTTGCTATTTCCCTCTGTGTATTTATCATTATGTACCAAAGTGGCTTATTTTCAAATGAAGAAAGTATATTTAATTACTCATATTTTTGCTTGCAGCTATAATTTCTGTATAAAGTACTTTATTATTATAGTTTACTGATTTCTAGTGGTTAATAAAAATCAACCAATTATGTAGATGAGGTTGCTCTTCTGTCTACTTTGAGAGAGTTAATAAATATTTGCTTATTTTCCCCCTCAATGCCAGTGGGTACATGGGTTTAACAGGAAGGGAGGAAGCAGCCCCGGGGATGGTCGTGCAGCAATCCCTTCTCCACTTCTCCCTACTTTCAGGGTTTTGGTCACACACATGTCATGTTCTTCAATCTACGGGCTCTGGGACTCAAACCACACAGTTGGTCACATGGGATCCGGCTGCCTTAACCAGCTCGTCAATAGCTGTCCCTAGGGCGGTTTTTGTTTTTTTGTTTGTTTATTTTGTTTTGAAGTTTTTGTTGTAGGGCTTGTGCACTTGCTCGAGAGAGACAGAGACGGGAACACAGGAAATTGAGAAATCGCCCTCAGGGAGGACGGCCACACTAAATCCCTTCTCCATTCTGGATTTGGGATTCTGGCCATGCACACACACATGCCCGGCATGTCTTTCAAGCCACAGGGTCAGGGACTTGAACTGTGCAGTCAGCCACGTGAGATCCAGTGGTCTTCACCACCACACCACTGACTGGCCCCCAATCCAGTTTTTAAAAAAGCTTTTTTTGTTTTTAAGAGAGAGATTTTTGCTATAGGGCGTGTATGCTTGTCAGAGAGAGACAGAGATACAGAAAGCAAGAAATCACCCCCTCAGAGGAGGATGGCCACAGTGGATTTTTTGGCATGACGTACACGTGCCAGGTGTGAGTTTAAGCTGCTGGGTCTGGGATTTGAACTGTAGTTGACTGTGTAGTTCAATGACATAGCCATTATGCCACCTGCAGGTTCCAGTTTTTTAAAAAGCTTTTAACATATGGATTTTTATATTTTACTGAAGTCCCTTCTCCATTTCTCCCTCCTGTTGGGACTCTGCGTACACACACGTGTGTGTGGCATTTATCTTGGGCCACTGCGTCCAGGATTCAAACTGCACAGTTGGCCATGTGGGATCCTGCTGCCTCAACCACCAGGCCACAAGGCTGGCCCTGCAGAGCTCATCACTTATCACAGAGCAGGCAAAAAAGGTGACGTTGAAACTGAGCAGCAGTCCAGTAGTAACGGGGTAGGAGATCACAGCCTGGTCTCAGGGCTCTTCTGATCCTGCTTCCCTTTTGCATTCCCTCTCCCAACACTCTTAGGATTTTGTATTCTTCACTCAAGTGTGAGTTGTTAGGGTCCAGATTCCTGTCACTCGTTCTCTGTGTGACAGCACCACATTAATGGGATTATTTGAAAGTATCTGGGTGTCCTATGCCGATGGCAAATACGGTGTATGGTTCTCACTATTGGAAAAGAGGTTTCCGTGTGGTTTGACACCGCAGAAACTTCAGAATTGCTGTTGTGGCTGTAAGGCATTTACAGCTTCTTGCCTTCAGGGAATGTATGCAGACTGGCTGGGCTCCCTCATTGTTTTCAATAGGTGTGATTGCTAATTTTGTTTCTTTTAAAGTTTTAAAGTGATAAGACAGTAGTACAGTTTGGACATAAGGGTGTCCTCATGTGAAGAGGAAGTGGCTTTTTTTAAAAACAGAAAAGTAAACCTAAAAACCTTCCTTTCTTTTTTCTTTTTTTTGAATCAGAGTATGAACCCCAAACAATTTGTGAGCATCTCCAGTACTTGTTCGCCTTATTACAAAATAGTAATCGGCGATATATTGATCCATCGGGATTTGTTAAAGCCTTGGGCTTAGACACTGGGCAACAGCAGGTAAGATTTTTTTTTTTTTTAATGTTGACAGGTGTCCAAGCCTGCCTTAGAATTTATAAAGTAGACTGGTTAAAACTAAAAAAAAAAAAAAAGAAAAGAAAGAAAAACCATAGAAATGCATATTATGAAAAAACTGCATGTATTTCATCCTTTTTTTGTACCAAAATGAACTTGTCCTTTTCTTTTTGTTTTCGTTTTGCCATAGGACCTGTGCGCTCACAGAGGGAAAATGATGAATCATCTCCAGGGGGATGGCCACACTGCAATTTCTTCTCTAGGGATCTTAGACACACACACATGCCCAGTGTGAATTTTAAGCCACCGGGTCTGGTACTTGAACCACAGTCAACTACATGGGAGTCCAGTGACATAGCCATTATGCCAACTGCTTGTCCCAAGTAGAGTGCTTTTCAAAAATTACTTTTTCTATTTCTTTAAGAATGATTTAATTTTATTTATTCATTCATTTATTTTAATTTGACCTGAGAGAGACACAGAGAGAGAGAGGGAAAGTGAGAAAGTAAGCCACCAGGTCCAGGGCTTGAACCATGGTCAGCCATGTAGGAGTGTCCAGTGCCTTAACCATCACACCACCCGCTGATCCCCACTCTCTTTCTATTTTGAGACCTAGCCTTGAAGGCCTTGCTTCCAAGACCCTGTGCTCTGCAGGCTGGGACAACATGGAAAGCCCAGGTTCTATCCTCAGTCCAAAGTCATGGTGGGCCATGGTGGGAGACCCTGTAATCCTAGCAGCTTGGGAGGTTCAGGCAGGAGGAGCCTGAGCTAGGCTGGCCTGGACTGTATAGTGAGACCCTGTCTGACAAACAGGTGGGCATGGTGCTGTGCACCTGTGGTCGCAGCCTGGAGACTGGAGGCAGGATTGCAACAGGCCAAGACCTATCATTCTTTCATTTGCTTTAATTTTTTCTTTTGAATTAGAGCATTTTATTTATGATCTATACATTTTTGTTATAAATCTGTGTTATACTTTATGTTTGATTCTATTTTTTAAAATTTGTATGTAGGCACTTAGCTCTAGTGTTCAGAAATCGTAAATTAAAGTACAGGTAATTTCTGGGAAATTGTTTTCTCTCTTTCTCCGGCCTCAGTCGGCTCTTGGAACATGCTGCATCGTGTGGTTCCCAGAACTCAGATTGCACAGTGTCCACGTCATCATCGGCCAGGGCTCACAGTTACAGCTGCCTCCCTAAACCTCCCGCGTCCAACCTCACCTGCTGCCCTGCGCCCCTGCGCTCCTCATCCCCCTGTGCCCAGTCCCCAGCCCCATGTCACCTGCCACGTTTTCCTAATCCTCTCAGACTCACAGTGACACCTGATCATATAAGGAAAATACTGCGGGCTCATCTAGGGCTGTATCCAGGACCCGGGAGCACCCTACTTTGCTACATCTGCAGCTCCTCGCCACGCCATTCCTCCCTTCCAGGAGCCTTAATTTATTAATATTTGCGTTAGTTGGAAAGCAAGAAACGACTTTTCTTTCTATTAATCTGAACTTGCAGGATGCCCAAGAATTTTCAAAGCTCTTTATGTCTCTGTTGGAAGATACTTTGTCTAAACAAAAGAATCCAGATGTGCGGAACATTGTCCAGCAGCAGTTCTGTGGGGAATATGCTTACGTCACAGTGTGAGTCCGTTTCCACTTTGCCATGGCACTTTTTATTCTAAGACAGTTGCTCACATGGTATCTAATTTTCAGTTCAGTTTCAAGTTATAGCTTTAGTGGGGCCTGAAGTATTTATGTAGCACATTGCCGTGGGAACATGTAAACAGCTGCGTGATAATTGGAGCTTTATGACAGGGAGGCGTGAGCTGAGGACGGAAGGTTGGAGCCGGTCGGAACAACACGAGTAAATGTAGAGGTCCTCTCAGAAAATCTCCCAGCTATAAATGCACGGCCTTGCTAGTCAGTTTCTGTTCGTATTTAATTTTTAGTATACATAGCGTACGTTTCATGAAAGAACCGAGGTTATAAATGGTTCTTTCCATCTTTCTGGGATGGAATGCAGTAGGACTTTGTTTCTTTTCCCACTCTGATCTTAATTTTATCGCTCTTTTATTATAGTTGCAATCAGTGTGGCAGAGAGTCTAAACTTTTATCCAAGTTTTATGAACTGGAGTTAAATATCCAAGGGCACAAACAGTTAACAGATTGTATCTCGGAGTTTTTAAAGGTATTTAAATTTTGCATATATTTGTAAACACTCATTAACAGTTAGATGCTGTTCTGAATGGTATTTCGAATCAGTGGGTAAATGTATTAGTTCAACTTTTTCTAAGTAAGATGTATCTGTGTCATGATCCAGAAGAAACTGTAAGTTATTAAATATTGAGGGAGGCTGTGTCTTAAAATAATTGCTAGTATTTCAAGTTACTTCATATGTAAAGTTGTGTATGTATGAAAACCTATATTAATGTGTGATTGTGGAAGTGGGATATTTAAGGAATTCTAAGTTCTGTTACCATAAAGTTAATTTACCTTTTTTATGGAAGAAGAGCTTGAATATAGAAACTGTAAGTTATTAAATATTGAGGGAGGCTGTGTCTTAAAATAATTGCTAGTATTTCAAGTTACTTCATATGTAAAGTTGTGTATGTATGAAAACCTATATTAATGTGTGATTGTGGAAGTGGGATATTTAAGGAATTCTAAGTTCTGTTACCATAAAGTTAATTTACCTTTTTTATGGAAGAAGAGCTTGAATATGTTAAATGCAATATATATATATATATATATATACACACATACATATACATACACACATACACACACACACACACACACACATCCCTTTTTTTCACACACACACACACATACACACACACATCAACATTCCTTTTTTTTTTTTTTTTTAAATAAAGGTTTTTGCCATATGGTGTATGTACTGTCCAGAGAGGAGGGTGAGAGAGTGAGAAATCACCCTCCAGGGTGATGGCTACACCACAGTTCCTTCTCTTCTATTCTCCTTCTGGGATTTTGGGCATGCATGCTCATGTGCCTGGTGTGTTTTCATGCTGCTCGGTCTGGTACTTGAACCACAGTCAGCCATGTGGGGGTCCAGCACCTTAACCACCACACCACTTGTGGGCCCCTCGAAATGATCATTGTTCAACCCCTGCACTCGAAGTTCTACTTCCGGTTTACTTAGATTTAGGTGCGGATATGGAAGTGGTTGGCTCCCCTTTGTTCTGAGAGGAAATTGTGACCGAGCACCAGCACGCACATAGCATGATAAATGAGCTTAGTGTACAGCTTCCTGTATGAAAATATCTCTGTGCCTTGCCCATTCCTCTAGCCCATCCATTAGTATGCTTAAAGAAGTCTTTTACTGTCTTCAGTTAAGTGTTCATTAGTGCTCACTGGATGTTCGGCACTGTTGCAGCTCCTGGAGTTAACAATAGTGAATGAAACCGACAAGATTAGCCTGTCTGGAGCTTGCGATGTAGTGGTGTGGGTAACAGAGGGACAGTAAGACAAATAGGAGTACAGTGTGTGCTGTCAACGCTAGTAACTACTGTGGACAAAAACAAGGCAGAAGAGAGGACTGTGGAATTTGTAGGCATGAGAGTGAGGTCGGTTGTAATTTGAAATAAAATGATTAAAGGTAAAAATGTGAGCCCCTCAGAATCAGGAAGTGTTCTTTTTTTTCTTTTTGAGAGATTTTTGCTATTGGGCGTGTGTGCTCACTAGAGAGACAGAGACAGAGAGACAGAAAGGGAGAAATCACCCCCCAGGGGGGATGGCCGTACTACAGTCCCTTCTCCATTCTCCTCTCGGGATTTTTGGCATGCATGCACATGCACCCAGTGTTAGTTTTACGCCTTCGGGTCTGGGACCTGGGACCTTGAACTGCCGTTGGCCACGTGGGAGTCCAGCAATGTTACTATTACGCCATCTGCTGGTCCCAAAATCCCCAAAAGTGTTCTGAGTGGAAGAAATAGCAAGTTCAGAGCCTGATATAGGAGTGTGCTTGGTGGTTTGAGGAGCAGAAAGGAGGTCCGAGACTGAAGCAAAGGGTGAATGATCCCCCATTATGAACGACGTTCCAGAGGTGACTAAGGACTGCGTCGGATAGGTCTAGTCGACCTTTGTCAGATTTGGCCTTTGCTCTGAGGGAGCTGGAAGTGCCATGGGGGTGTTAGCAGTGGATGAGGTGGTCGTTCTAACCTGATACCTGTGGGTGCTGTCTTGAGAATAGGCTGCAGGCGTGCAGGGCAGATGGAAGGAGGGCATGATGGCTTGGACCAAGGGTTAATGAAAGTTGTGAGAGTAGTGTTTGGCTTTTAGATATATATTTTCAAAGTAGAGCTAATACAATTTGTGGACTAGATTTGGAGAGAAAGAAGGGAGTCAGAGGTTTTTTGGTGTGATCAGCTGGAAGGACGGCATTGTTGTAACAGAGGGGAGGACCATGCAGGGGTGGGAGGGCGTTCAGGAGTCTGGCTTTGGGCATGTCCATTTGGGAGGTATAGGTCAAGGGGAGGAGCTGGGGCTGGAGAAAACCACCCAGGAAGAAGGAGGGAGAAGGGACCTAGGGATTGAGCCCTGGCACATCCGAGTGTTCTGGATTGGGGAGCTGCGAACAGGTGAGGGGTACCCTGGAAGCCAAGTGAAGGAAGTAATGGTACCAGTGTTGTAGGACTGAAAATGCTTGATTTTTTTTTTTTCTTTTTACTTTCTGTACTTCTCTTTTAGCTTTATCTCTTGAATGCAGTTCAGCAAGTTTTACCAGATATATACAGATGTATAATTATGTATTTTGGTGTTTATTTATAGTTTCTACTCACTTATTCATGGTTTTCTAAGAGTAATTGCAGATCAAGTACATATGCCAGTCTAATAAAAGACCTACTTCCTTAGAACCCCAAAAGTGGGATCGCTAAGACAAAAACTCATAAGTATTTTAAAAATCACTTAGGAAATAACCATCTGTTTAAATATTATTGTGTACAGTTTTTATTGTTCATGACTGTTCTTCTTGGATGCCTGTTCTTTTTAAAAAAACCTTTTTTTCCAGAGAGATTTTTGTTACAGGGTACGTGCACTCATTGGAGAGACAGAGACAGACAGATGGAAGGCGAGAAATCACCCTCCGGGGGATGGCCACGCCTCAATCCCTTCTCCTCCAGTCTCCTCTCAGGATTGCACACACACGTACCTGCTCTGAGCTTTAAGGTTCCAGGTTCCAGACTCGAACTACAGTCAGCTGTGTAGGAATCCAATAACCGTTATGCCATCTACTGGTCCTGGGTGTCTAGTGTGCAAGTAGTACTATTTATTTCAAACGAAAATGTGTGCATTTTTACAGATAAAATAATAATTATAATTTCAAAAATTAGAAGGAGACAATCGATACTTTTGTGAAAACTGTCAAAGCAAACAGAATGCAACAAGGAAGATCCGACTTCTCAGCCTCCCTTGCACACTCAACTTGCAGCTGATGCGTTTTGTCTTTGACAGGTAAACGTGTGCAAGTAGTACTATTTATTTCAAACGAAAATGTGTGCATTTTTACAGATAAAATAATAATTATTATTTCAAACTCGAGAGTCGGGAGTGAAGTTACAGGTTGAGCCCATCATTCTAAAATGTCAATATTTTATAATTTTATCATAACATTCTTAAAGAAGCCAGCCATAAGTAATCGAGAACTAAAAAAGTATGAAATTCTTACTTTTTTCTTTTAAAAAGTTACTAAAAACTGCAAGGAACTGAATTAGTTTGACATTCTGTGTTAGTATGTAAAGTACGTTAGTATGTAGAGTTAGTAAGTAGAGTAAATTTTTATTCATTAGAAGTAATCCCCCCAACTTCCATGGGAATGTATCTTTTATTTTGTAATTAAAAGTAAGGCAGAGTTTGCACATGTGCATGCATGTTTTTATGAAGCAAGAGTGTCTGTGTTTTCCTTTTGTGATTAAGTTAAAACTTCTGGAAATTAAGTTTTATTTGAAATCGGCACTTGGAATTCATACCTTCTAACCTCATGGCCCAATTATAGAACAGAAGTATGTTTACCCCTGAACAAATTGTAAGCGAGATTGCTGAATGAAATCTAGCTGCTATTGAGTTTTTGAAAGTAGCCGATAGAGCTTATGCACTGTTTTACAGTTGTCTTAAATACAAATATAACCAGCTTTCCTCTTGGCTAGGCAAACTGGACA